GGTTGAATGGTGTACACATTAAGTTGAATGGTGCAGCATCAGGTTGAATGGTGTACACATCAGGCTGAATGGTGTACACATTAAGTTGAATGGTGCAGCATCAGGTTGAATGGTGTACACATTAGGTTGAATGGTGCAGCATCAGGTTGAATGGTGTACACATCAGGTTGAATGGTGTACACATTAGGTTGAATGGTGCAGCACCATGTTGATTGGTGTACACATTAGGTTGAATGGTGCAGCATCAGGTTGAATGGTGTACACATTAGCTTGAATGATGCAGCATCAGGTTGAATGGTGTACACATTAGGTTGAATGGTGCAGCGTCAGGTTGAATGGTGTACACATTTGGTTGAATGGTGCAGCATCAGGTTGAATGGTGTACACATTAGGTTGAATGGTGTATAAATTAGGTTGAATGGTGTATAAATTAGGTTGAATGGTGTATACATTAGGTTGAATGGTGCATAAATTAGGTTGAATGGTGTACACATTAGGTTGAATGGTGCAGCATCAGGTTGAATGGTGTACACATTAGGTTGAATGGTGCAGCATCAGGTAGAATGGTGTACACATTAGGTTGAATGGTGCAGCATCAGGTTGAATGGTGTACACATTAGGTTGAATGATGCAGCATCAGGTTGAATAGTGCAGCATCAGGTTGAATGGTGTACACATTAGGTTGAATGGTGCAGCATCAGGTTGAATGGTGTACACATTAGGTTGAATGGTGCAGCATCAGGTTGAATGGTGTACACATTTGGTTGCATGGTGCAGCATCAGGTTGAATGGTGTACACATTAGGTTGAATGGTGTATAAATTAGGTTGAATGGTGTATAAATTAGGTTGAATGGTGTATACATTAGGTTGAATGGTGCATAAATTAGGTTGAATGGTGTACACATTAGGTTGAATGGTGCAGCATCAGGTTGAATGGTGTATACATTAGGTTGAATGGTGCAGCATCAGGTTGAATGGTGTATAAATTAGGTTGAATGGTGTACACATTAGGTTGAATGGTGCAGCATCAGGTTTAATGGTGCAGCATCAAGTTGAATGGTGCACGCATTAGGTTGAATGGTGTACACATTAGGTTGAATGGTGCAGCGTCAGGTTGAATGGTGTACACATTAGATTTAATGGTGTACACATTATGTTGAATGGTGTACACATTAGGTTGAATGGTGCAGCATCAGGTTGAATGGTGTATAAATTAGGTTGAATGGTGCAGCATTCGGTTGAATGGTGTACACATTAGTTTGAATGGTGCAGCATCCGGTTGAATGGTGTACACATTAGATTGAATGGTGCAGCATCAGGTTTAATGGTGTACACATTAGATTTAATGGTGCAGCATCAGGTTGAATGGTGTACTCTTCAGTATAATAAATGGTTTACACATTAGTTTGAATCATGCAGCATCAGTTTGGAGGGTGCTGCAAGTGTAGCTCTTCAGTTTATAGTTTTAAACGTCCCTGGCCATAAACGTGATGTTGTAAGGCACTGGTGTTCTCGACAATTCATTCAGTTTAAACCCTATCAATTCCTTATTGTATCCATCTTAATAGGTGCATACAACAAAGGATACCTTTCGCGCTCGTCACGTGATAGTTACTGCTGGTGGATGGACCAATCAAGTACTGTCATCGTTGGATATCAAGTTACCTCTCACTGTCACACAAGACAAGCCACGTTTGTTGCAACCCCAAATTTGAAAGACTTTACTAAAGAAAGGTAGAAGTACATGCAGTTTTATAAAGAAAACTATAATTATATATGCTGCTTAAATCTGTTGTCGAATTTTATCAAACTTTTGGACATTGATGCATAGATCATAATTTCACGAATGTTCTTTTTTACACGTAATCTCTGCACAATATAGATTTCCCGTATGGTCTTTCCTTACTCCGAAATATCATTTCTATGGCTTTCCGATGCATGGCAACACTGGTGTTAAAATAGGCATGTCAGCAAGTGGTCCGACTATCCATCCTGACCAGCTGCCATCAACACCAGATCCAAAAAGAGAAAAAACCTGCCTTGAATTCATGAACAAAAGAATGCCAAAGGTACCAGTAAACTTTTACATTTTGACCACCAGTTCTTCTTCGATATAACAATCTTAACACATGTATGAAGTATTTAATGGAACGCCCATTAACCCAATAAACGACGTATAAACACCAGCCTAATGATTGACAGCTCAAATGACTTGATGAATGGGCAGTAATGTGAGACTGCTACGGTGTTAACGAATTTGCCTCCCAGTCGCAAACTTTAAATAAGCAGGCATGAAAGTTTCAATCTTGCTGTTGACAGGGCTGTGAGACAGTTGATTTATAAATCAGATGTGGTCTAATGGTCAGTGCCAACATATGGTGGAAAATAAATGGTTATTATAGGGAAATTATGTTTTCCTTACCCATTCCTTGAAATTGAATTTGAGCACCCAATGTAACACTATTTTAGTGTAACTTGTAACTACAGCAGTAAACAGACAATTGCAACAAAAGATGACAAAAAGAAATGTTCAACAACATATCCAATATAAAGAAACCTAATTTATTTACCGTAGGCTGTTGGACCAATACTGTATACAAAGACATGCCTGTATGACATGACACCGGATCGTAAATATATTATAGATTCTTTGGCGACGAAAGGTTACCCACAAATTTATGTATGCAGTGGTGCAGGACACGCCTACAAGTAAGCAATTGTTACCATGATTACATCAGTATACACACAATATAGTATGTATGTATGTATATGTTTATATACTATTTTAAATTCATATGGAGTCATTCGAGGTTCACCAGTTGCCGAAGTATCGAACATAAAGTATCGTAAACGAGTACGACGGCCTATAATAAAGTACCTGTAACGGTCATATATCTTCCTTTTATAGATTCGTTGGTTTGTTCGGCAAAATATTGAGCGAGATGGTCATCGATGGGAGAACCAAATACCCAATTGGTCCATTCAGGGTCGACAGAGATGCGCTGACAGATAAAAATTTCGAACCTGATTTCCATTTTAAGAACATTCCTAAATCAAAAGCAAAACTTTGAGTTCAATAAATGAGGATTGATACAATGGATTTTATTCGTTACTTACATGACATATTCGTTGAACAGTGTTTCCGCAGTTATACAATTATCAAGCATAATGGGCTTAGATGACTTTCCTGGATTTAGAAATAACATGTGTAAAGACTATTATGAATGAAGCGTATATTAATCAATATTATAAATAATTGATATAGACTTAGAAGTATAAATATATATATATATATATATATATATATATATATATATCACTTATATCACTATGTATTATAAATTCAACTTTCTTTGGAATATGGAAATAATTGATGTTTGTATTTAGCTACACTATGTACAAATGCAAACCAACTAACCATGTTATTATATAAATATATTATACTACGGGTGTGGCAATAGACTGTCGACAGTCCTCGGGCCTAATATAATTGTGTTTCCTAGACATTCAAACGCCTAGCAAGAACCAATGAAATGTTTTAAATTTGTTTTTTCTCAGGTGCTCCCTGTTTGAGGGCGTAATCACCTGGGTCAAAGATGAGACCAACATGTAGTCTTTTGTTTACTACTTAGTGACTGTGTAACTGTGTGTTTATTCTGTGTGTATTTGGATGTTCTAATCTTGGTGTTTTTCCAGTGATTTCTCTAGGTGCAATCCAAATACAGTAGGTGTGTCTTGTTTACCTGAGATTTGTAAGAGTTTGAGCTGGCCAACATGTTAGTTTTTTTTCATATGGTTGTTTACTTGCACGTTGATTTCCCATTTTTGAGCCATGTTTTTAACTTTCTTCATCATTTTCATATAGCAATCTCGTCATATGTTAACATTGTCGTCTATGGAAATTCAATTAGTGGTATGAGCTCTGGATGGAAAATGCAAACCATTTCATGCGAGGGACTTTAGTCCCGAGAGACTGTCCCCGTCTGCAGGTTTCTAGTTGATATAAATAATTCATATTTGATGCTGACGTCATGAAATAAATTATATTAACATAATGTATGCATATTTATTCTAAATGACCAGCCTGAATGCATTGGTGGTTCACGTTATGAACACAATGAATTTATCCCCTGTGTGTAGTTTGCGATAGTGTCTCGCTGGTATTCTTTGCAAGAAATATCAGGGTAGTCTAATCGTTCCAGCACTTTTATAATGCATTTGCCTAACGACACTTCATACTTCCTGTCCTGTTTATACACAATATTTATTAATAATAACAGATTAATATTAGGTATGACTGACTGTCGAGAGTCTAGGCACGACCGACTGTCCGGTGCTGCAATTCTTACCAGATCTGGGTACTTTCATATGCAAATGAATAATCGCGCGGATGTCTACACTGCCACCCCATTCATATAACACCCCATATTG